TTTCGGAGATATCTGTCTAATAAAATCGACACAGATAGACGACAGACACGCAGACAGCAGATCTGAGGACATATTTTTCATAGTCTACCCCCAGACTATGACAAAATATGAAAGCAGCCATTCGCTGAAGGGACCCTATTACAATGCTTCCTTATTTTCCGTTCGGGAAGTAAAAAAACACAAAAATATTTTAATAAAATTAGTAATTAGAATCAATTATTTTCAAGAATCGTGTCTAACTAGTTTACTACACAACTTGGTAATTAATAGATAAAATTGTAATCTGTTGTTTTCTAAACACTATTATTTGTATTATTTATTATTAGTATTTTCTATTCATAGGTTTTAATCCATAGCCCTTGGGATGTACCTCTCCTTAGAAAACATTACTTTCGTATGCCTTCCAATAAAGTTGTAGCAGCTGCAATGGAAGCTGAACTTGTTCAAACATCTGAAGATCTCAGAAAATTTGGGCCTAGGAAAAGAAAGTGCTATATGCATGATGAACGCCCTCTGAAATATTTTAAAATGTACACTCAATCTAACTGTTTACTTGAATGTCGAACTAATCATACATTGACCAAATGTGGCTGTGTTGAATATTTTATGCCGAGTAAGTATGCTATATATTTTAATATAAAATTTTGTATAATTTTTAACAATAGGGAATAAAACAACTGCGATTTGTGGTTATCCTCTTTTGGATTGTTTAGAGAAAGCTGAAGGTAAGCATCACCTTAAGATATATGTAAACATTTTTCTAATTTGGTAATTAAATAGGTAGCTTTATCAAAACGCAAATGGAATATAACATAAATGGATCTAGCTATTGTGACTGTCAACCTGCCTGTTCAAATTTGAAATTTAGTATAGAAACGTCTCAAGATAATTATTATGAGAAAGAGTTTCTGAAATCATTGAAATACGCTGACACTGGAAATAACAGGTACCTATTAAATCGGTTTGCGGTAGATATATGAATAAAAACATTTAAATTTTAGTACTGCCTGGAGTCTTCTGCATATTTATTTCAAAGAGGAGCAGGTTACAACAATGGAAAGAAACGAGCTGTATGGTATCTCTGATCTAATATCCAGCTTCGGAGGCGTTTTAGGATTATTTACAGGATTTTCATTGCTTTCGACATTTGAAATCCTTTACTTTTGTTCTTTGCGTATTTTCTGCAATAAAAAAATATATGGCCGTTGGTCAGGTCCTTAAATTGAAGGACGAAATAACACTCCAAGAAATGTCTGAAGTAGTTATTAGGAAAAGATGAATGATCGTGTAATAATAATTAATTGTTATTAGTTTGATAATTTTCGTCTAAAGCGTCTTATTCAGTAGATGCATTAGTTGTATATATATAATTATTAATAAAAGAGTAATACACGAAATGTTATTTCTATTGTCCGTTGTTAGCGTAGAAAACCCGTAAACAATGCACTTTAAACGCCAGAATTCGCCGTGGTCTTTTCAGATATCACTAATCAGAAACCTACCTAGGGATTTCAGAAGAAGTTAATAGATTTTTACAGTTTATCATCGAATTTATGTCATTCCGCATATTATTAAATAAAATTTGGTTTTTAAATATCAAAATATTGTTACGAAATACACCCATACACCGCCCCGGTACGACGCCTATGGGTTTTCAAGTATGTGCGGGGATGATGGGTAACGGCGGTCGGGTGGCGTTCGCGTAAAGCAAGCTGGAGCGGGTTGCCGGAAGTCTCGATTGCGGGGTCCAGAAAAACTTCGAAGCGGCGTTTGCGAAGGATCCAGAGGAATGTATGAATTTAAATAGAGGCCACCTTCGGCGACGAATCAGTCTCAGTCTACGAGTCGAGTCCAGTAAGTGAGAGAGTGAGTGTAGTCACATCCATTCCAGTCGAGTTGGAATTATTCTGTACATAATCGCTGTATAGTCGTGTGGTTTAGTATTACCAAGAAATAGATTGTTGAGTTTTACCCACGACGATTTTAAATTACTACTTGAATTTTCATAATTTAAAAATTTTCTTTTTTAGTTTTTTATCACGTCAGATTTCAAAAACTATTCAAAATTTTTGTCTTAGTTTTTGACACGGACCATAATAATAATAATAATAATGTCTTTATTTTCAACAAAAGCTTCTACTATACAATGTTTTATATAATGAAAAGAATCCGCTTTCAAATCACACATATAATTAATGGTAAACTTTATTAGCAAGTTAGTACTACTTTATTATTTATTATTATTATTATGCAATAAGAATGGAGCAGAGGCAAAGCCTGTGATGCTCTCCTAATACAATTCGTGTGAAAAATAATAATCATATACAAGTATCTAGATAAATTACAAAATGAAATATACAAAGCAAAATTAATTACTAATGAAGTTAAAAAAAAAAAAAATAATAATAATAAATAAAAATAATAACAATTACCTTCAAACGTACAGTTAGAACAAAATTAATTACATTTAGGTTACACTGTGTCTAAACCAACTTCATGTATTGAGTCTAATCTGTTCTTAAAACTGTTAATAGAGGGAGCAGATATCACTTCTAAAGGCAATGAGTTCCAGGAATCGAAGATTCTATTTGTAAAGAAGAATTGACGTTGTTTGGTCCTGAACCTTTCTTTAGCCAGTTTTAAGGGGTGTCCACGTAGTCGGTTATCTTGATTTAAGACAAAAAGATGTTGCGTCTTCTGGTCAAAGAAACCATTTAGAGCTTTATAGGCGAAAATCAGATTTCCACGGAGGCGACGTTGATTCAACGTTGGGAGATGTAATAATTTAAGTCGTTCTTGATAGGAATAATTACGAATGGATGGTAACATTATTCTTGTCGCTCTACGCTGAACTGTTTCAATTAGTTTGTTGTCTCTTATAAGCATCGGTGACCAGGGGTGGAATTTTGTTTCTCGACCGATAAATATCGGTCACCGCTAAAATATCGTAGGCTGCTAACGTTCGTCGACGAAATCGGTATTTTGTTTCTCGTGGGCAACCGAAGCGATAAATGATTTGACGTTTCGACCGCACCGATATTTTGTGCAGTGTTGCCACATATATTCCGATAATGCAGCTACCTTCATTATTGTTTTTTGACAGTTTCGAATTTAATTTAGATTTGCGCTTTTTTTCAAATGGCACGTTTTCTGCCTTATTTCGTCAACGACGACCGTAATTATTTACGGAGACTTAAAAGACGCGCTAGAATCACAAATGATCCTTTCGATTTGCCCAATCAACGGTAATAAAAGCAATTTTAGTTAATACTTATGTATTACACAAGATACATCAATTTTCCAGATTTATTGAATTATTTCGATTTGATAAACGTACAATGCGTGAGGTGATTGACATGATCGAGCCTCACATGATGCCAGGCCAACGAGGTCATCGAATCAGTAGGCAAATTCGAATTTTGGCAGCAATAAGGTTTTTGGCTTGTGGAAGTTACCAACGTTGCGTGGGACAGGACTGCTTCATTAATTTATCGCAATCTCAAATTTCTATTGCTGTTAATGAAGTAACCCATGTAATTGAGCGCCATCTGAACCATTTTATTAATTTCCCAAGTCAAGAAGAATACCCTGCCATAAAACGGACGTATGAAAGTCTCATGTTTTCTATAAGAACTTTTTCTCTATTTTACTTTGTCTATATAGAGTAATGGAACGTTTTAACTTGCCAGGTGTCATTGGGTTTGTTGATGGCACGCACGTTGCTATTTTGAATCCAGGTAGAGATCGAGAGCACCAATACCTCAACCGCAAGGGATACCATTCAAAGAATGTTCAACTTGTAACTGTTTTCCTTTATTATATTCACCTTTTCTAACTACCTTCTACACTTCATTCAGATTTGTGGTCCCAACAACAGAGTATATGCAGTAAATGCAGCACACGGAGGCGCATCTCATGATGCATTTATTTGGCGAACGAGTAACATTAACACCATGTTACAAATGCGTCTCACAGAAGATGGTGACAGAAATTCTTGGCTTTTGGGTAATCTATAAACAAGTACACTAAATCACTTGTAAATTTATAATTTTCCTTTCCAGGTGATTCTGGGTATCCTCTCATGCCCTACTTACTAACTCCTTTTCCACATCCACCTGAGAACACCCCAGAATCGAGATTTAATAATGCGCATCGTAGGGCTCGTTCTTGTATAGAGCAGTGCATTGGGATTCTAAAAGCCAGATTTCGATGCCTTCTGTCTGAGCGCGCATTACGGTACTCTCCACCAAAAGCCGGCACCATAATCAATGCCTGTGTGATACTGCACAACATTATGGTTGAGCGCGATTTGCCGTTGCCTCCGGAGGTTGATATTTTAAATGCAATTTACCAACACCAGGCCGACGAAGATGACGACCACCCCGACCATCAAATTGAAGCCCCTGAGAACCGAGCTGCTGCAGCGCAAAATCGTGCACGTATTGCACGTAATTACTTCCGTTAGTTTTACCCCCTACTCCCTGTTTTACGCACAGAACACGACATATTCTTTCTTTGTTTTTTGTTTGTTTGTTAAATGTCTTAAATTATCTCTACGAGAGCGGTTCACGGTATCTACCAGCTCGTGTAACCGCGCAGATATAAATAACAAAAATTTCACTTCTACAACAACATTGTTGTTAAAAGTGCTTTAGTTTCTTATTGTGTGTGCAGCAGAAAATATGCTCTTTAACTTTCTTAGCTTAATATTTATTGTTTAAAGACTCTTAAGATTAAACATTGCAGAAGATAACTTAACTAAATACAAAGGTGTAAAATGGGTTGCAGGCCGTAAGTGGTGAGTGATTGTTTTCTCTATTCTTGTACGTGCACTTTTTCCGAATTGTATTTTAGATCTACTCAGGATTCATATTTTATACCTACTTGGTTAATTGGTGGTTACATGTATTCACAGACCACGTTTTCTTTAATGTGTAAAGGAAGTATTCGAAATGAATTTGCAATCAGAGAAACTACTACAAGACATTGGTGAGTTTACAGTTAGAAAAAAAAAAACAAAAAAAAACGAAGCTTAATTAACGCAACATCATCACATCAATTAGTTCCCGCAACGCTTGCAAAATGTTGGTGTTGACATCAGCTATTCGCTCCAAAGCAATGGCTTGCCGTTCACGAAGAATATTGGCCTCTTTCTCTGCTTTGAGCAGATTTTCAGGTAGGGTTTCTGGGCTTGGACGCTTTCTTTTTCGTGAAGGTAAGGACAAATATGGGGATGGTGAGATGTTAACAGAATTCTAGAAATGAAAGGTATTACTGTTGTCAAACTTTGCATGCATAAATCAATACAATTGCTGTTTCTTCAGGAGGCACTGGTGAACCTGACATTGGTGGAGGAGAAGGAGGAGTTTCAGAGCCAGATGGTATGGCTGTTGGTACAACAATGGGAGCTTTGGAGCCAGATGGTATGACTGGTGTTATAACAAGAACAGAAGGAATATTCTAAAAATGAGTGAGTTATTTTATTTTGTATGTGTGTGAAATGTCGCATATGAAAGCTTAAAATTAAGTTAATTGAATGTGAATCAGTATAAAACATTTTTTTTTTCAGGACTCCTTATGGGTAACAACCCATGTGAACATCAAATACGAAATACCTACTTCTACTATTGAAACAGAGGGAAACTCTGGAGTTTTCCCATCACCACAATAATCTGGGCCAATGATGCTTAAAATTCGGCACTCCATTTCACTTAAACCAGAGAGAGTCGAATCATTTGATGGCCCAGCACCTCCAGTCCTTTGCTGTTTTGCCTTCAGTTGTGCAGCTTTAGACTTAACGACTGACTTCCAGTCACTCCAACACTAAGTTTTATATTTAAAAATTTATAGGTAAATTGATTTTGTAAATGTATCATAGTTTGTGTATTACTGAAAATAGGGAATGTAGTTTTAAGTGGATGAATGAGGCATGTTTACATAAGTGAGTGTAGGAATGAAGGTCTATTTTGTTTAAGGAATAGGAGTACAAACCCGTTGCCATTGTTTTCGATCCTTCATGGCACCTCCTGCCGCATTTAGTTCAATGGTTAGATTACTCCACAGTTTTGATACCATGGCCGAATCTGAAAATTGACCCCTGGCAAAAGGCAAATGGTCATGCATAAACTCCAGCATTATTGCCTTCTGTTGTTGTGAAGCCTTTGCAGTTCGCTTTGGCTCCATCTAAATATCAGAAATTCGTTTAAATATCTTTCTACAACTTAATTAAACTGAAACTGTTCTTTAAATAAAAAAATGTTTATGTTAATCATGTTTTATTTATAATATACACGATATGTTAAATAAATACTGCAATTACCTCGCACACGGTTTCAACCTTCCAAAAACAACGCAAATAAAACTTGAAAGAAGGAACACCACACTCGTCTGGTGCTCAATCAATCTTCTTTTTGGCGCCTTCGCTTGGCGTCGCCTAGCATAACGTGAAAAAGTTAGGTTATGTCATTTTATCGGTTGGGGGTTACCAACCGATAAAAATTAATACACCGATGCGATAAATATGAAAAACAAAATTCCGTTTTACGGTAGGCACCGAAAACTATGACGTCTCAACCGATATTTATCGCTTCGCTTCGGCTTCGGTGAGAAACAAAATCCCACCGCAGATCACGGCAGCGTGTTCGAGAAGTGGACGAATATATGATTTAAACAGATAACAGAAAGACTGGAAATCGAGATTGCGAAAAGCCTTGGAGAACAGGAAAATTGATCTGTTAGCTCGTTTCACTATCTCACCGATATGTTGAGACCAGGATAGGGAAGGTGTGATGGTAATACCAAGATCAGAGTGATATTTAACAACTTTTAACTGTTGGTTGGCAATGTTAAGCGTGAGTAAAGGATTGTTGGTTCCTAAGTGCATTAAGACACATTTATCCAGATTTAATGGGATTAGCCAATTTTGACACCATTTTTTCACAGAGTGCAGATCCAATTGTAAGGAGTTGTGATCAGTTAACGGATTGGCATAAATTTTGCAATCATCAGCATAGAATATGTGATCCGATGTAATCTGGAAGCTAAGATCAGCAATATAGGACAAAAATAACTTGCTTGACAATAAAATACCAATGGTTGACGTGAATTATGAAGAGGTACAAGAAAGTTTAATTTTCCTAATAGAAACAATCTCATTATATTAGAAAATGTTTTCAGGAATTTTGAGAGAAGGGTTTTACGATTCATTGACGCAAAGGGCCAACATTTTCAACATTTATTGTAATATCAAATCTGTTTTCAAAATAAATTAAAAAAAAGTCTTATTTACTCTCTTCACGTACTGCATTGAAAAAGTTGTAGTGGATCGCTGTCATCGATCATAAATTTGAATTTCAGTGCAGACTACGGCGCAGACATACTTAAAAAAAAATCAATGACAACTTGATGAATTTTTCAAATGACCACCCGTTATTTAATCAAAGGTATTTAATTAATGTTTAACGTCGACGCACAATTTCAGAGTTGGCAAAGAATTAATTAATGCAATAAATTTAATTTTACTTCATTCTGATATTCCCTGTGCGCTAAAACACATTTTTTATAAATAACTTTCATTTGGCAAGGATATCAGTATTAAATAGGAAGCTGCATAAGTTCGTTATTTCGTCGAATTTCTACACTATAAAACTGACTAGTTTATGTTTAGTGATCAATTATATTAATAAAACTTAAATCTATTACCCTTGCTACTGGCGTTCGCGCGTGACGCGTATCCATTACAACCGCAAAAATAGCTTCTCCATTGCCACAAACTGTTCTTTCCAACCGATTCGAGACAACATAACTAGCCATTCACGAGTCTACACACACATGTGTAAACGTGTATAAGATGGGAACTGTACTGAAAGAAAGAAATTTTTGTCACACAGCAAGAAAATATCTACAAGAATATAATAATTCTACGAGCATTCATGGTCTTCATTATTTGACGGAGGAAAGATCGCTTACCGAAAAGTAAGTACCTAATACGTAAGATAGTTTGTTAAACCGTGTTGATCTTGTTGTTTTAGAATTGTGTGGAGTATAATTTTGTTAATTTCTTTGTCTGGATGTGTTTACATGATTTCTGGTATTGCAAGGAAATACCAAATTACTCCAGTAGTGGTGAATATTGCCTCGGAAGACACCCCGCTGTACGAGATCCCATTTCCAGCTATTACAATTTGTCCAGAAGCTAAATTTTCTTCGAATGTATTTAATTATACGGATTTTTACTTTAAACTGTCAGCACTGGATAAAGACGCAACAGAGAATTTAGCCGAGTTAGTATTTATCTTATAACTGAATATTAGGCCCAAAGAAAGTATGTATAGGCCAGTGCCGAAGCGATTGAAAATGGTAAAAAGTGAAAAAAAAATTAGAACAGGATGATACCCATTGGAAAAGGAAGAAAATATAACAAAAATAAAAGGAAAAATAATTTACGGCCGATCTGAGGTCGGGGAGTGGAAAAGGGTGAGCTTGTAAAGGTCGAAAACGGTTTATCACGATTTCCGGCAAAAGTCCTATCGCAAAAAGTTAAATAGCAAAGTTGTAGGTAATAAAAAGATCTACAACTTTTGTATTTACACTTAACCTCAAAATTTATGCGAAAAATGCAAATAACCGAGGTTTTGGTTTTTTACTTTTATCTTCCACAATTTTTTTTTTTTCACGAAATTTGGTGAAAACTTACCTATTTATGTCCCAAACTCACTGTAATTTTTTTTATTCAAAATATTTATTTTTTTCCCTTATTTTGATTTAATATCGAAAAGCCACCCTAATTTTCAATCGAAAATTCTCACGTCAAAATATTTGCTTTTTTAAAAAATCGGTGTGCTTTTTGTTCGCTGAAATCTCTACTTTCTGATGGTGTAAAAAAATTTTACACCATTACTATGGCAAATTTTCACAGGAAATCTAAAAAAACGATTTTTCGAATTCGATTTTTTTTAATCATGTAAAATTTTGAGGTGTTTATTAAAATTTACACTTTAATTACTCTAAAAACGTAAAATTCCATGTTACATTGATAAATTAAAAAATTGCAAATCGAAATATACTACTATAATTAACAACCAAGAAAGTTAATAAACTTAATACTTTATAAGACATCTACAAAATTTTGTTACAGTTGTAGGATAATTTTTAAATTATATGCATAGGTGCCTATTTATTGCTATTTTAAGATAACTTATATACCTGAATGGCCTACGGAAAATTTTAACCCATCAGAAGAATGAACAACATCGTTTATAAAAATACACGTGCAGGCTGAGTTACTTGAAGAGAACCGTGACGAATTGACTTATTTAAAAGAGACTTTTGGAATCTACAGTCACAAGGATTTTCCTGTAAACAAGCAGACGAAGATGCTGATGCTGACATAATTAAGATCTGCCAAAGATACTAATACAACTGTCATAGTTGTGGGTCAAGATATTGATCTTTTGGTCCTTTTGAATCAATTGAATTCAAATAATTATGACACTTATTTTCTCAAACCAGGTTATGGAAATGTAAAAGATCTTTTTTACACGTCCAATAGTTTCAAATATGAATCTTTCAAACATATCGTTGCATTTCTGTATTGTTTTTCTGGTTGCGATACAACATCTGGATTTGCCGGAAAATGAAAGAAAAACATCGTAAATTCATTGTCTTCTAATATATAAAATTCTCGTGTAACAGTGTGTGTAGCCAAACTCCTCCGAAACGGTTTGACTGATTTTTATGAAATTTTCTTTCTATATTCGGTAGGTCTGAGAATAGGTCGTAAACTATTTTTTATACCCCTAGGTGTTAAGGGTGGCCCACCCAATTTTTTTTTCCGGACAAAATTTTTTATTTTTATTTTTTTAAGATTTGGCTTCAAAAAATACATATAACCCTAAATTTTCACCTTTCTACTACCAACCCCCATTTTGTAGTAACGATATTAGTATCTTTACTTTCGTCCACACATACGCAATAGGGTTGCAAGATGGCTGTTGAATATAATCATTGTCGTACGATAAATTTTTATATATAATTTATAATTTAATTTAATTATAATTTATTTATTTATTGTAATTTAATTTTTTCTTTAGCTACTAAAATATTCACTAGAAATAAATTATATGGCAAAACAACGTTTGCTGGGTCTGCTAGTAAGACGATAAAAATTTGTCAAATTTGGCGAATATTTTTTATAAAAAACATGCAAACAAAGAAAATATCGCAAAAAATGGATTACAATTAATCAAATATATTTATAAATGTAAAAATGACAATATAACACTGAATCAATTAAAATTTCGAAAATCAATTGGCAAGAATTAAATCATCTTTCTTATTGACAAATCTCCCATCAACAGAAGGCTTTTGTTTCATGGATTTTCAATTTTTTAGTTTATCAGTGTAACATGGAATCTTATTTTTTTCGAGTAATTAAAGTGTAAATTTTAAAAATAGCTCAAAATTTTAAATGAAAAAAAAAATTGAATTCGAGTTTTTTCGTTGTTTTAGATTTCCTGCGAAAATTTTACATAACAATGTATATTTTTTTTAAACCATCCGAAAGTAGAGATTTCAGCGAACAAAAAGCACACCGATTTGTTTAAAAAAGCAAACATTTTGACGTGAGAATTTTCGATTGAAAATTAGGGTGGTTTTTCGATATTAAATCAAAATAAGGGGGAAAAATAATTATTTTGAATCAAAAAAATTACAGTAAGTTTGGGACATACATAGGTAAGTTTTTACCAAATTTTGTGAAAAAAAAACTTTTTTGTGGGAGATAAAAATAAAAAACCAAAAACTCGATTATTTGCATTTTTCGCATAAATTTTGAGGTAATATAAAAAAAGTCTAAATTATACAAAAGTTGTAGACCCTTTTATTACCTAGAATTTTGCCATTTAACTTTTTTCGATAGGACTTGTAGTTTTGCCGAAAATCGTGATAAACCGTTTTCTACCCTTAATACCTCTTCCACTTTCCGACCTCAGATCGCCAGTAAATTATTTTTCCTTTTGTTTTTTTTTATATTTTCTTCCTTTTCCAATGGGTATCATCCTGTTCTAAATTTTTTTGTTCTCAAAAATTATCGGCCCTGGCCTAGTAGTAGACTTCCAACTTAGCCCTACTTGAAGGCAAAAAAACTTCTGTCACTTTATTAATGTTTTTTAACATTTTCAAAGAAATTTGAACGCTTAAAATTCCTGTTCTGAGTTTTGACATGATCTATTCTCTGAAACGTTGTGAATGCAACATAGAAGTCTAGCTTGTAAAAAATATTTATTTTTAAGAAAAAAATTTACCTCAAAGTTGGTCAGGCCGGGTCAGGTTTGGTCAAGTTAGGTGAAGTTTTGGATGGTAATTTGCCACAAATTTTTGAGAGAAATTGAGGAAAATGTATTACTTAGTACTTTTTTTGCAAAACCTTTTAGACCATCAATGCATTTCTGTAGTTAGTATAGCTTTTAGAGCACGTCGGTTCTGAAAAGTGTCTTGGTATTTTAGATTTCTAGCTTAACGATAAACTTCCTAACGATTTGTTAAGGGTGTCGCTGTACTTCTTTTCCTAAAAAAACCCAGATAGACGTGCAGTATACGACACGGTAGTTGGTAAACTAGACGCAAAATATTTTGTGCGTTTATGGCTTTGACGTTTAGAGTACTTACAACCGGCCCTTCATAAAACTTAGCAAATGCAAACCATGCCACGTGTCAGGGACGGCCGGGACTGTACTGCCCTCTGGTATTACCAGAAAAGTTCTTTTCAGGTAGGTTATCAGTAAGCGGGTTTAAGATATCCGCCTGTGACGGCCTATTGAATTACAATGGGAGTTAAATTGGTGTGAAGCCATAAACGCACAAAATGTTTGCGTCTAGTATACTAGCGATAAAAATACCAGCGGTTTACTTTTTGGTTAAGCATGATTAATCTAGTATTTTTATACACATAGCGCCTCAAAAGCGGATTTCCAGAGAACTAATGCTGTATATCGCTGAAATATCTAATACAGCATTCAAGCGCTGTATAAGTACTTTTCTTATCCTCCAAAAAACAACGGAAGTCGATGAATTTGGATAATTTTTAAGTTTGTAGGACACAGCTATTGTAATTATTATTTTTTATTTTATTTTAAATGTATAATAAGTTTGCAAAATGTGGTGATTACATTTTTAATAGTCACGTAAAACTTAATAACCAAAACTTTCATTTGATAATACAACAATGAAGAGTTATTTGTTCAATTTGCTTATTGCTCACGATTATATTTAATGGTCCGTATTATTTTCCTTGAATTAATATTTAGACACTATTGTTAATTTTTTTTCTCTGGTAGATACTTTTATCATATTTTGTCACTCATTTTAACCACAATTTTAGATAATGGATTAATGACCTGACGAAAGAAAAATAACACTACCCCATGTCTTTAATTTGAGAGTAACTCAAATTATGTAACCAACTTGTTAAGGATATTGTTTCTTTTTAAAACTGTATTAAATTTGGTCCATTGGTCGATAATGAAGTACGTGTTGTAGGGAAACCGACTAATATAATAGAAACAAAAATGTAAAAAAAAATCTTACAGATTATTTATCACTTAAAAAATTGCTTTTATTTTTCTATAAATGATTATAGGGTCGCAGTAGGTCATGTATACGTGCCGCCTCTCAGATTTAACTGTACGGAGATCCATACTAAGTGCCCAAGGACGCATAACAAAGATCACACATGGACCACACACATGTGTATAACTGCTTCATATGTAAAACTAATTCATTACGATAAAAAGAAACAAATTGGTTGCGGTTAAACAACACAGTAAATGTTGAAAATGTTCATCATTCTGTTCAAGGCACATGTTCACTCTCTTTTTAATTTCAAAAATGTTCTGTAACATCCTTTCGTCAATCTTGTTCAATTGTTCAATTCTATTCAAGTCGTCTCAAATTATCAACAATTTCCTCAGATGAAGTCTTCTACATTTCTTTTTGTTAATACTGCCAATTCGAACAAATCTGTTGACTACATCTCTAATGTGGGCCTTCAACGATGTTTCTTGAATTATTAAATCACGGTATTTGGCCAGATATTCTTGCTTACAAGCGGTTACAGAATGCACCCACGCTTCGTTTACGAAGTCCCATTGCGATAATAAGACATAACCATGAAAGTGTCTTGTTCAACAGCACGTTCAACAGAATAAACCATTTACACAGTCGTCGCTTCCTAGCACAAAAACAAAATTTTCGTATGAAACCGCCAAGAGTTCTGAAAATGACTGTTTTGTTTTGAGCTTGGATCAACGAGAATTACTGTAATTCGCACTTGAAGAACATTAAAACAATGAAAACGACGACTTCAAATGACAGGTTACAAATGACATTAGACATTAATATGACAAGTGAGAACTGTCATAATGATGCATAATCACGGGCCATGGCCGACTAGTATAAAGATTATGGCCTGTCCAAGAGGTACCATACGTGCTACCATCTATTAATAATTCAAAAACGACAAAAGAATTATTAAAACTTTTTGACAAAGGCATTCATACCAAAACAAACCACCATTACATGTTTTAAAGTCTCATAATGTCAAATCAAATTAAAATTTTGCTAAATTATTAAGTGTAATTATAAATAGATGGCAACACGTATGGTACCTCTTGGATAGGCCATAATCTTTATACTAGTCGGCCATGCACGGGCATAATTTCAGCGAAGCAGAATTTTTGAAATCCATGGCCAACTACGCCCTTAGAATCATTTATAAAAGCCCTGTATATCACTCATGGGACATTATTAGTGTCATTTCTATGACAGCGTGCTTGAGAGACATGTAAGTGTTATACACCGTTGGAGTAGAAATAACTTTCATACGAAAATCACCGTGGTTGCCAACCGTAGTAACCATGGTAAGTCAATGCAAGGCTACTTCATAATTTCAGATTAACTTTTTAATGAAGAACAGAGGCAAAAAATAAACGTTGCAAAAGTATATTAATCGTTTGAAAGTAAACTATTGTTATTTCATTCGGAGTTTAAGTTACTTTATGTGATGTGTCTGGACTTAATTCGCCTCGCTATCACTCGGCGTTTAACCGTCCATATTCCTCACCTAAAATACCACTTCTAATAAAATAAATGTTTAGTTTATTAAAATTGGTTTCACTGTTTTAAAATTACATTATTTTCCGTAGGTTACGCAATTTTACTTATTTGAGTTTGTTGTGTGATGATCCATGGAAACAGGGAAACAAAACAGTGGAAGAAGATTTTTTTAAAGTCATTACAGAGGTGGGTACAATATAATTTTTTTTCACTAGCAGGCATGACGCATGCAAATGTCGACTCATTTAGAGGTAGCAAATTCAACTTTTGCGACCACCGGTTCCAAAAAAAAAAAAATTGAGGTTATGTACGCAAGTTTGATGTGATTATTTCTTAAAAAATGAACAAATGTGTGCTACAAACATTACTTGAGTATACGCATGGTAGTTGGTAGACGGTAGAAGATAAAATCATTAACTCAGCGACAAATATAAACGGTTTTCTTTGTGTTGAAGATTTAGATCAAGTTTGATTAGAAATCAAAACAAAATCATGTTGCGTCAAAAAATTGAACGTTTATTTTTTCAGTTTATTGTCTTATGGTTTCTACTAGTGAAAAAAATAGTATATTAACCACGCAAAGCCACTTGTAGACCTCGCGCTTCAGAGCCCTCGACGCTGCGCGTCTCGGGTTCTAATTTGCGCTCGGTCTAGAATGCTTGGCTCTGCAACCTTGGCTAATAATATACTATTTTAAAGGTTATTCTTCCCTCATTCCATTAACATCAAATCTATAATATTTTACATTTAAAAAACTATTTCGCTGACTTGTTCAAAAGAAAAAGTTTAATGAAAAGTTTCACACAATTGTTCTGATTGGCCTGTCCAACATAATCATTTTTAATTTTTTTTTTTTTTTTGCAGATATAGCAATTTTTTTAAAATAACAATTATTTGGGTATATTACTGTTGAAAAAATAAAGACAAGATTATAGTGGGCTTCTAAACCATAACATTTTACACATTTACAAAATTACGTACATGTAATTTAAAAATTTGTCTAAAGAGTTTAGACAGTGCTTCCCTCGCTTTCAGAACCATGTCTTTATGTCTCATTGGAGTTCTGTGACGGGATATTTCAATAAATTCGCTTTCACTTTGGAAGTCATGGCTCGTTCGTAATTTGATCAATAATAACTTGACTGATTCATTAATTTTTTTGAGTCACCTTGTATAAGAAAATCTAAAAAATATGAATGGAATGATAAATTACAAGTATAATCTGACCATATTTTGCACATTTTCGAAAGGATTTATCCGGCAAAATTTTGAGATCACTTAATCAATTTTTTGGGGTTTATAAACAGATACATTTTGATTAAAATGTTTCCATGCTTCCAATAACTTCAAAACGTGTACAAGATTTAAAAGTATTCAGTTTTGCAAATCATGATTTAATAAATAAAATAAATTGACTCAGTCCTTAATTTTTTGTGGCACACCGTATAAGCAAATCCAAAAAATTTTAATGTAGTGATAAATCACAAGTATTGTCTCATCATACTTTGCACATTTAACATAGGATATATTCAGCGAAATTTTGAGGTGACGTTATACATTTTTTAGGAAAGATGAACAAATACATTTTGACTAACTATTTACCATCTCCAAGATTTGAAAGCATTCGGTTCTGTGGTCCTTGATTAAATCAATAAAATAAACTCCCACATTCATTAATTTTTTTGAGTCACCCTGTATATGCAAATCCAAAAAATATGAATGGAATGATGAATCACAAGTATTGTCTCATCATATTTTGTGCATTTTAGACAGGATTTATTCAGCAAAATTTTGGGGTGACGTTATAAATTTTGGTGGGGGGGGAGGGGGGGGGGTGAGCATATACGTTTTGATCAAAAATTTACCATGCTTATGATAACTTTAAAACACCTTCAACATTTCAAAGCATTCGGTTTTGTAGTTCCTGAATAAATCAGTAAAATAAATTTACGCATTCATTAATTTTTTTGAAGCACCCTAGACTCATCATATTTTGTACATTTTAGATACGATTTATTCGGCAAACTTTTGAGCTGACGTCATCAAGTTTTTGGAGAGGATAATCAAATATATTTTGACTAAAGATTTATGATGCTCTTTATAGCCTTAAAACATCTGCAACATTTCAAAGCATTCGGGTTAGCAGATTCAAAATTAAATTTGAAAATGTTGTTTTATAATTTTGATTTTTTTCCAAAAATCTGGATGTATCGGGTAAAAAATCAATTCGGGGTTGTAAATTACATGTGTAGTGACGTCATCGCATTAGTGGTGGGGATGATTAGACAAATTTTGGTTAGCGTTTTACCATCTACATGATATTCCTAAGATAAATTTGACTACAATCGGCCTAGTACTTTCGGAAATTATCTGTCTAATAAAAATCCGTGACAGTCAGACGGACAGACGGACAGACAGATAAACAGACGAAAACGGGAGGCCTACTTCTTCGTCCTCTAGGGGTAATGAGAGATCGAGAAAATGTAAAAGTAGAGAGTCGGCCGACGAACTCGATTATAATACTTCCTTTGCTTACGCTCGGGAAGTAAAAAATATAAACAATAAAAAAAATTGGGATTTCAAAAAAACCTATGAAATCCACACTTTTCGAATAATTCAAATACTGTTTTACTGTATTCTATGATTTTAGGTTTATTAACGGTAATTTAAAACTACTCACTCCCAAAACTGACCAAAATTTGTATGATAATTCTCATCAAAAATTCAATGGCGGTATGTCAAAATCCTATGAAAAATGTAGAAAATGTGCCTATGCTTGTAATTTAATAATGCATATGGATTAAAAACGTTATTTTGGTTTAGTAGAATATTTACCTGTTTTAGAAACGTTTGTACCGAATATTTAAAAAAATAAAGGCGACTTCCTTATTTTCGCTGATTAAATAAAATATTTGTTCCCTAATTTTTCGAAAGTTCCAAATTTAATTTTGATATCTATAGGCGCTGCATTTAGAAGAAAAGATAATAATAGCAGGATAATCTTTTTTAAAGTATTTAAGCATCTGGACTTGTTTAATTCTGTTTTAGAGATGAGAAAAGTTCTATGTTAGTACAGTAATAGTTTTTAAATAATTTTATTGTTCAGGGGAAGTGAAACGGCCAACAAAATAACAAGAAAACATATGTATTTCTAGTTGGTAAATAATAAGATATGTTTTTCAGTTGGCGCCTAGCTTTGAGCTAGACTGCACTATGAACGAAACCTATTTTAAGGCTCGAGACGTCTTCACTCCAGTTCTAATCGATCAAGGAATATGTTACTCTTATAACATGCTAGACCGATCACATATATTCAGAGATAATGTGTAAGTATTTAGCTTTGTTACATTCCTCTATAAATATTTTTAGGGTACACCACTCAAACTTCTATAACGTCAGACAAAAGTCTCATGATTATGATTTTGATGCCGGATGGGGTTATAGTAAAGAAGCAGAAATGGAAACTTATCCCAGACGTGCACTAATGTCTGGTGCGGACAATTCCTTTGACATTTACTTAAAGTACAATTCCAATGACACTGACTACATTTGTAACGCCTTCCACCAAGGATACAGGGTTTAATTCTGAATTAACTCTAGGGATCTTCTGCTAATAATAAAAGCGAATTTTCAGATATTAATACATAGTCCATGGGATGTACCACATTTATCAAGTTATTATTTCAGAGTCCCACTTGATAAAGCTGTACTTGCAGCTGTGGATCCTGAATTAATAATTACTTCTGAGGAAGTGCAAAAGTTTCATTCAGATAAACGAAAATGTTACATGATAGATGAAAGGCCTTTGAAATATTTTAAAATATACACCGAATCCAACTGTTTTTTTGAATGTTTGACAAATTATACCTTGGAAAAATGTGGATGTGTACAGTATTTTATGCCAAGTAAGTTAGTTTAGCTTGATTGATCGTTCTTCATTTTTTGAACATATAAATATAATGCTTAAATTATTTGGTATATTTAAAAAACCTTGTTTGCATAACACCTTACAGAAGTTTAGTTTAACTTCGAAATTGGAATTAAAACATCATTTGAAGATGAAAGTCGGACCTGTGTACGTTACAGCATAAGGGAGCGTTAAACGGAGAACTACAAGAATTTATAATATTAAAATAATATATGGCCAGATAGAACAAGTTTCTATTCATATTTAAAGCGGCTTTAAATGTCGCGAGTGGTAAAAAAATGTAGTGCTTGTAAATTGCAAAAATATAATGTAGTGTGTACGTCGTTAAATTTAAAAGGATTATGATGTTCAAATTTAATCTTTCACGTGGCTAAAGTTTCGAAACTAAACTACAACTTTAGAACAAAGAAATATTCCTGAGTGTAATTATTAAATTTGTTTATTTTCACAAAATGATATAACTCAATTTATGTGTTTTTTGAACTTTGTAAAATAGCTTAATATACTCAAAGTATCTACTTCCTGTCCTTTATTATAAACTAGAGGTGTTTAACATGGATGTATTTTTATATCTACTTTGTGTTATTTTTTTAGGAAATAAGTCAACTCCTGTTTGTGGAACAGGTAGTTATGATTGTACAACAACCGCTGAAAGTAGGTGAAGTTTTTAATATAATGAAATAATATCTTCGAGTTTTAGATGAATTAAAAATGAAAGACATACGAACAAAAATATCAGGAAAAACTTATTGCAATTGTAAACCGCAATGTACTGCCTTAAGGTATCACGTTGAAAATTCACACAGCGACTTCTATTGGAGAAATTATTTTAAAGTGTACAAGCATTATAATGCGGAAGATTCAGAGGACTTTGGAGAAGAGTAAAAAATACATATATTTAACTAGGATAGTAAAAACTGTGTAATTTTAGGACACACTGGTCTGTTTTATCTATATATTTAAAATCAGAAGAGATTATAACGTTAGAGAGACGTGAACTCTATGGAATATCAGATTTCGTCGCAAACTTCGGAGGACTTCTTGGATTGTTTACAGGATTTTCTCTGATATCACTAATTGAAATGATTTACTTTTTGACACTTAGAATTTGTTGTAATCAAAGGTTGTCTGGACATTGGTCAGGTCGATAAAGTATTAAATCAATATCGCTGTAACACAGAATTTGTTGTAATCAAAGGTTGTATGGACATCGATCAAGTCAATAAAGAAGTACTAAAACAATATAGCTGTAACAACTTCAAAACCACATATGAGTATATAACACCAACTTAGTAACCGGTGTCTGGAACAAAATATCTTTTCAGTGTCGACCATTGTGATTTCCAAAAACAGAGGCCAACGCAACAGAGGTGCTCGTACCTGTATGAAGCCACAATGAATATACACAATTTATTTGTTGCCGTGAATATTCTAACTGTTTTCAAAATAACCTCAATGACGATATAATACTAAGTTTGAGATTCTTTGGTAACGAAACATGCTTTCATTTGTCTGGTTGTGTTAACTGGCAAAAACGCCTCTACAGTCCCAGAAAGTTGGAGTGTGCTTAGTATTTTCTGACGTTCTGAACCTATGGACCTGTACAATGTAGATAAGAATTGGAGATGAGCGATATTTCACTAACGGTGATGTATTTTTTTGTTGGTGACCGTGATTTTGCTTGATCGTCGATGGAAAACGTCCCATGACCGAAGTATCGAATCATTGTTTCCGCACCATCGTGATATTACTTGTCGTGTAAACTGGGTTGACGAAAATCTGATCAGGCTCACTTTCTAAAAAAAGGGTGACTGAGAAAGAACAGTCACTGTAGTTCCCGCCAAGATCTAAAAATTACGGTATCCTTTATTTCTAGTATGAACCACATCTTCATCTTTGTTATATGCATTTCATCTATATGTTTATTTAACTTCCATCTTTATACTGCACCAGCGCAGCACATCGCTGTTGACAGATGTTTCTTCTAACCTGTCTTTCCAGTTCTTTATAAGAAAAACAATTTTATAATGTAAAACAAAGATTCTGTTTTAATCATAACGCATGACAATCGCTGTCCAATAATTTACTATTCTTTTTGTTATCTACTGTGAATTATTTATAAAGTCAAGCTGTCAACATCTTTCCTACGAAGTTAGTTCAGACATACTCATCTGACAATAAATACAAAGTTCATCACAATTGAGATAGAGGTGGGTGGGGCTTCATATGACTAGAGACCCTAAATAAGAGAGTCTGGCCAAAGCCAACATTTTATATCACAATCAAGCGCGCATTTTTTAAAATTTGGAGTCACGTGTGTAATAACCAAAAAAGTAGCAGAAATTCGGTAACAAAACATTAAATAAATTGAAGGAAAAAATTATTGAATTGCCAAAAATTTATTTAATCATGAAAAACAAAGGTGGTCATCAACGAATGAAATATGTAAATGCAATAATATACAGCGTGTTATTGAAAGGTACGTACAAAATACATCGACAATTGGTCTCGAAGTATGGATGCTAAAAGTAAAAAAAAGTTTAGGTAAAAGTGTTCTCCTTTTAGAGATAAAAATGATTAAAATTTATGTCCAAATTTGTTGTACGCTTCTGATAAAAAGATCATCTTTTGTTTCTATAGCAACATTTAGTCTTGACAAAAGTTTTATTGTGTTAGTTGCTAGGATTAACTAAAATAAATTAATCTTACCTATTTTTCCTTCAGTAGCGTCTAAAAAGGTTGGATAAGGGTTAATTTTCCCCTTATAATTTTGATAACACAAAATAAGTTTTTCAGACTTCTTAGACTTCGCGCAGAACTGTCAATTTTGTTGTACGTACCTTTCAATAATACCCTGTATAAACTACTAGATGGCTTAAAAATTCGTACATCTTATGAAGCAATATAAAAAAATCTTCTTAAGGGTCCTATTCCTCAAGACAATATTGTGCACTCTTACGAAGGTATGCAGCGACGGATGGAAGCCGTTATTCAAGCCAGGGGTGGAAATACACGATATTAATTTAATTAACGCTAATAAACTTATGTACCTACCTACATTAAGACAGTCTCCAAATCAGGCCCAGAATATGTATATTTTTTAAATATTGTCATTTTTTGGCCTTGTCTTGCATATATTTATCACTACTATGTATATGGTAACCCCATGTATTCCGGTTCGCTAGAACTGGAGGTGGTGCGATAATTTTTGGGGGGAGTGTATTATATGATCTAAGCATATAGCCTGCGGCTTAATTCAGGATTTTCATGACGTTCCCCAAACCTTGCTCTACTAGATTTCAAATTATTCGGTTATTTAATAGAGGAATTCAGAAGAAATAAAAATGAAATTACACGTTGCTGTCGTAAAACGACTGAAAAAATGCAACAGAATATTTTCGAAATATTTATGAAAAGGTTATGAACATTTCCATTATTTTTGCAGTGCTGGTTTTATATATTTCTATGTGTTCACACTAACACAGTTTGGGACCAAAGTGAGCGAGAAAAACAGCTAGATAATTTTCATCTTTTTCACTCTCAAAATTATTAATAATATAAACTCAAGAACATAACAAACAGTAAAACTTCAAACTTACGTAACAAACTATCACAGTCATTCCTATTACATTTATCATATATTTTTTAACCCACACCTAAATCAACTAATCAAATCTCCATTTCTTCTTCCATATTTTTTATTCATGAATTTTGACTTTGTTTCTTTGACATTAATCACATTATTGTACGAATATCAATTTTTCCACACAAGTTTACTGAAACATCCTATTGGAAAACGATTACCGATTACATATTAAAACCTGTAGTAAAACAAAAACAAGACCGCAAATGTTCAAACTGATGGTGAAGCCAACGCCATCTCAACATAGGTATTGCCCAATAAATCCCATCTAAAATATGGAAAATAGTAGTGTGGTTTATCAATGTATTCATAGTTTTTAGAAGAATTACTTATACGAAGTGACCCAAAAAAATAATTATGATTCAGGATATCTATTTTATTGATCAAATCAATCACTTTCCCGAAAATTTAAGTAGATATACAGTATTATTATTGTTAGTATTTTACATATTCACTGTAATACTAATATTATTCAAGTCTTACTCGGCGTTGGTAATTTTGTGCTCCGTAGTTTTTCTTAGTTTTCGGTGGTTAAACTGCTATTCATAATTGTGCTTCTGATGCCAAACTTGTATATCACATAATAAGCATTCACGTTCGGTAGAAGTAACTGACAGAAACTTTTCTGTGGTTAAGTTGCAATCTTAAGATCACTAGAAATTTAAGATTGGCATCAACTGTCTAATTTTCTAATTCAAATGTCAAATCTGAATTGTGTGGAAAAAAAACCGAAGTTTTTCTAATTTCAACACGCTTCGTTTCAAGAAAATCCTTAAATACAGCATGGAAACAATTTCCATAAAAGTAATCACGAGAAAGCTCATTTTAAAGGAAAAGAAACAAGAAATATTTCGTGGTTTTCAAAAAATTGGGTAAAACGGAAACAGTTAAACTGGTGGCAGAAATATTCTCCGTAAAGTTCGCTAGTGTTGTCGAGTGTTTTTCGAATTTTAAAATAATACAGATACAGCGGCGCTTGTGCCGTTAATATTATAATCAGAATCAGAAAGACGACTGCGCAGATTTATATACCTACATGCTTTGTTGGTTCCGTTCTACAATTGGTTTTTAAGTTTTATATAATCGTTATTGTTTTGTAAGAGGTAAAACACTCGGCTTTGAAAATAATTGTACGTAATACACGTATAAATTTAGGTTTCCGAAGGCGAAGTTTTTCACATTTTAAACACGTTATAGCTGCCAGAATCAAATTTCTAAGGCGGTACCTATCTCCAATTGCGTGATTGTGGTGAAGATTTACTTTTTATTTTCTTGGATGAGACATGGATATACCAGAACGGATCCATGGTGAAATTGTGGATCCATGATGATGACATCAAAGCTTGTCCTCCTAAAAAAACTAGTGAAGGGAAAAGATTCAAAATTTTACATGCGGGTTGCTCTTTGGGCTTTTAGAGGGATGCGATTTTCTCCTTGGTTCAAAAATAGATTCACCAGATTACCACAAAACCATCACATTTTCGATATTTGACCTTTACTTACTTACATGTCACATTTTTGATACCTACTTTCTGACATTCCAGTAATACATTATACACTAGAACAATTATGTCCGCAGTTACACAGCTTAAAAAAAAAAGTTACCAAATCTAGTTACATCTACCGAACGTGAATTCCTTATAGTTGGTGTCGTATCTACAGGAATCAGTTAGCTAGTGCGATACGTAAATGTAAGTTTGTTTTTTGGAATTCCGTGATTCTAATTCAGTGTGTAGACTTGCTTTATCTTTCCTTTTTTTCCGTAACCGATATAGGACTTTTTGTAGTAAAACATCACGGCAATTTATTGATTTTATTCCTCTATTTAATCCCAAATCTGTCAGTCACCTCGATAAACCCCGAAGGTGTGAAGCTCGTGTCCTTGTTAATAATTTTTGTGAAAATATTTTGTTTATTTCACCTAAATCCTATTTTCATTAATAGCCATGAGTAAATGTGGGAACTGTAGTGGAATAGTAATTTACGCAACTAGTTCGGGATAGCCTGCTTCCCGCATGAACGCTTGTTTGAGGCACGACCGAAGGGAGTGCCGCATTTGCGTGAATGCGGGAAGCAGGCTCACGAACGTGTTGTGTACAAAATGTTATGTTTAAACTGAAGAGATTAACTGTGAGTTATTTATAAACAACGCCATTGACAGCGCCGTCAACACGTCACAATGTTGACACTACCCGAGTATTTTAAGGTTACCATGGCAACGGGAAGTTAAATGCACGTGTGCGGGAAGTTCGACCTCCCGCACTCTGGTGAATGCGCGAAAGCTATCAAAAAAGGTCATGAGTGCAAAAATATTAGATCAAACGCTTCAAATATGCAGTGTGATGCATGGCAGTCGTCTATTGTTACCGGATCAAAACTACGAAAGCACTGCAGCCAATGAGAATCCTGGATTCGTGCCGAACTAGTGGGCGGGGCCGATGCGAGTCTATAAAAGTGGCGCGGTTCGGGAGTCGTCAGTTGGAGAGGAAGGTTGTCTGTTCCAGTGGTGAGTTTGCTTTTGCTTGTTTACTTGCTTTTGTGAATTCGCCGCCGTGCTGTG